AAAATTACAGGAGATGTGTGAAAAGACTGTCTAGAACAATGACAGTGTGGACTTCTAGTAAACATTAATCTTATGCTTTCCCTCATTAATTTCTTGCCTTTTAAGAAAAATACTCAGGTACAGATCAAGTTCACTCCCTCAGTGGATTAAAAAACAAATACTCGGTGTGGCTACATGCTTTAAAGCAGAATGGGGCTGAATTCCAGCCCATCAGCACTCCTTGAACTAGCATCCTTTTTTGTTGAGAGCCACAGTTAAGTCGGAATGATGCCTGGCATTTAGCCAGAGGGAATGATTGAAAGATGACCCTGCTCCCGGAATAGGGCAGCTCAGGGATTAGGGCGGATCCTGCTGCCTTTGGTGCCCCTACTTTGGAGTTCCCATTGAGTTCTCCCTGGGGTTCCATGAGAATTGGCACGCAGAGCCCGGTGGAGGGTGGAGGGGAGTGTATTCCCGGGAAGTGTGAGTAGACTGCCAGTGAGAGTTCGGGAATAAAGAGTTGCTGTTTGAACCTACAAGGCTTTGTGGCAGCTCGGTTATTTTGTGCCCAGCCAGACTGCGGCACTTTTTCTAACTCGCAAAAAGATACTACATGCCTCTGTAAAGAACTGATGTGTTTTAGAAACAAACTCTGCCCATATGTATTTCGTGTGTTATGGGGAAACAGATAATCAAGAATTAAAATATGCCAAGATGTGATGGTGTATGCTTGTAATCCCAGCAACTCAGGAGGCCGAAGAAAGAGGATCACAAGTTCCAGGCCAGCTTCAGCAACTTTATGAGCCTGTCTCAAGATAAAAAGAAAAGGACTGGGGATGTAGCTCAGTGGTAAAGTGCCCCTGGGTTCAATCCCCAGTTCCCACCTCCACAAAAGAATTATAAAACAATAAGTGCTATTATTAGGGAAGATATTTAGATCAGACATATTGGGGAGTTCAGGATCTACGACCACAAGGATGAGGGAGATTTTAGGGAACTGAATATCTAAGTGCCATGCACTGTTCCAGTACTGAAAATAAAGTAGAGAATACAACACACTAGGTCTTTTTCCTCAATTCTAACATTCTAAAAGGGGAGCAAGACATCAATTACTGAACTAGAAAAATGCTAGGCACTTTAGGAGAATACCACAGGCAGGGTGGTGGTGGGGATGAAGATGCTACTTTAGAATGGAGAGTGGGCAGGCATCTTTAGGGAGGTGTCATTCAAGAAGAGATCTGACTGGCAACCGTGGGAAGCTCAAAAAATGATCATATCAGGCAGAGACAGGAGCTGTTGCAAAAGTCTTCAGCAGGGAATGAACTTTGAGTTTTTGAGTTGGCAAAGAAGACCTGTGTGGCTGAAGTTCACTGGGTGTGAGGAGGGGCAGGAGGTGAAATGAGACGATTAGCAAGTTAAGCCTTTATGAGACCTGGAAACTTGAGCCTGGCGATCTTGGAGAACTGCTAGGAGTTCCATATAGCAGAAGGGAAGGGATATGTCAAGTGATGAAAGGCGATTCAGGAGATATAGAAAAGAACCAGATTCAGACAAACTACATGAAAGATCTGGGACACATTTAATTTTGCTAAATGCTATGCAAAGAATCAGAAGGAGGCTATAAAGTATTCAAAGAAAACCTTTCATGGTTATACCTTTCAGAAAGGTTTGAATATATGTGCTACTTGTTCTTGAATCAAAGTCCTCTACATTACAGTTTGTAATTCTTCTCAACCTAAATTTTGTTTAATGGAACACTTGTTTTTGCAATATTTGAGTATACTTACCACAAATGGTAATACCTGTTAGATGGAATGTTAAAATAAATCATGTTTTATAGGAGGAAAATATTTTTTATTATGATTAAGTGGTAAGAGCACACAATGTCAACTTGGTAACAAATATGTTATTTATTTGTTAGAGCATGGCAGAACTTTGGCTTATATACAAGGCAGACATTACTGTTTGTCTGCCTTAAATACATGATTTCTCCTTCATTATTATCAGTAGAACCTCCAATTTGAATACCAAAGAGATCAACTAAAACTATCTTGCCAGGTATGGTGGCATATTTCTGTAATTCCTGCCACTTGGGAGGCTGAATCAAGAGAATCACAAGTTTGAGGCCAGCCTCCGCAACTTAGCAAGACCCTATCTCAAAAAAAAAGAAACAATAAAAAAATATATAATATATATATGGGGCCGGGGAATGTAGCTCAGTGGTAAAGAACTCCTGTACACTATTAAAAACTCCTAAGTACCAAATAAAACAACACAATGAAAAACGTGTCTTCTAATTTCCCTTGCAGCTAGGGATCATCATATGACACAGCTTTGGCCAATGAGATGAGATGTAGGCAGAAATCCTTGGGGAAGGTATTTCCTGAATCAAAAGGAAAAGACTGACTAGGAGAAAACTCCTTTATTCTATTCCCTATTGTGCTTCCCCTTTCTTGTTGGCATTTGTAATTATTTGTTGACCTGCTGTTTGGAGTCTTGTAATTAATTTCTTTAAACATAATACAAAATAGGCCATGTTGAATTGAAAATGACTATCACATGAATATGGCTAAATCTTTTTGATACTTGTATTTATCCAGAGCTAAACTAGATATTTACATAATAATGTAATGACATGTATGTAACAATAGGTTTAGAAAACAATTTGTACCCAGTTTGACTGTTTTCTGAAGACTGTTTTCTGTATTCAAGGACTAGAAAACAGTTTGTAAATAATTCTGTAAACATTCATTTAATGTATACTATCTATAATTATGAATAACACTTCTTTATGTGCCACAGGGAATATGCAGGGATGATGTAAACAGGTTTTTGTTTTGAGGAAGCCAACAATTTCATGAGATGACAGATGTGTTCACAAATCAATGTAAAACAAGTATGTATATGATGTACTCTGAATAGGCTGTCCAAGAAGAGTCTCTAATGGGAATGAAGGAATATAGAAAAAAAGGGGTTGCCTCAAACACAGGCAAAGCACAATTTTCAAGGCCTAGAATTATTAGGCCTGGGTGATGGGATTTACAGAATAGCTAAATTTTTGTCTTATGTATGTTGTTTCTAGATGAAGAGCCTGGGGTTAAGCAGGTATTGAGTCAATAGTTCTATGATCATTCATCCTAGAGACATCTCACTGCATCCATGGGGACCAAAGCTCCTGGATTTCAGATGTTCCTTGTACCAGATACAAGGGAATTGATGGAAGCTTTGTCCACCAACTGGCATCCTTGTCTGGTTTACATGCTGTGTGCAATTTACTAGCTCCTTCAGGATTAAACAAAGTAAAAGCAACCCTAAAATGGTGCCCTTTGAACACTATCTTGGAGTAGACTGTGTGGCCTGTGGGGATGTAATTAGTGCCATTAGAACACTAAAAAGCAAGTTAAAGAACTGTGAAGAAGAACAGATTCTGTGTGAAGCCTTCATGAAGGTGGCAGCATTTGATCTAGATCTTCTGAGATGACAAGACTTAATATGAAAATCAGAGGAAGGGCATTGCAAGAACATGAAACAATATAAATGATGAAATCGAAGTGAGAGAGCAGAGCTGTGTATTGGAAAGGAAGAGCAGTCCCTTCCTTTTAGCTGAAGAATAAGATGTGTATGGGGAAACTGGAAAGGGAATAAAGGTCAGGCTAAGAGTATTGGCTTTTAATATGTCAGTAAGGGGAACCTTGAAATATTTTAACAACTATTAAAGTGGGAGGATAAATAAAATAGGGGATATGTGAGTAAGTTTCACAGAATCATTGGGTATGAAACACGCACATGAAGTCTGGGAGCCCAGACATGAACTGAGGCCACATGTGATTAGAGAATAAGACACGAATTTGAAAGCTTTATTTTAAAACCAATTGTTTTGCAGGAACACTAAAGAGAGAGGAGCCATGTATGAATTTTTCGGAATTTGAGCATATGGGAGGATAATAATACAGTGAAGACAGGAAGAGGAAAACACAGTATTGGACAGCCAGGTGAAAATGTCCTACAGGTGGTTAAAAAATAAGCGAATGGAGCGCAGGTGAGAGGTGGAGTAGAGAATGAGTCACCTACACTGAAGTGATTCAGAGTTTGGTCTGTCATAAACATAGTATAGGAACCTAATTACAGGCCCTAAATAAAGGGCAAATGTTTAACAAGGAAGACAGAGATCTTAGAAGCACCTCCAGAAAACAAAACAAACCCCACTGAGATTATTGATATTTATAGCTCATGTTTGTTTTACCAGCTGTTAAATTCTCGGAAGCTCTTATCCCAAACTGACCTTCTAATTGGCAGGAAGAACTGTCAAGGGCAAATTCTTATATGGAGATTTGACACCAAATTGCCAGGTATTTTAAGTCTAGAATATGACATATACCCGAAATGACACAACTAAAGTGGACAAAAGCATACTGGACTGGGGTGGGGGGGCGTATGTGTGGGAGGAGACGTATTCCTGAACCACAGTTCAAATGTAGGTATTGATGATTGTTAAAACTAATCCAAACACTATCACAGAAAAGTTCTCAAAGAGACAGATGGTTGTGCTTGGGCAGAGATCCCTGCGAAGCAGGGGTAAGGTTAAAGAAAAGAACTAGAGTGGCCAAGAAAGAGTAGCACAAGTGATTGCGTAGCTCCCAGTCGGAAGGCGGCTCTCATTACCAAGCATACTTGCGGGATGGATCACCAGCATGACCACATTAGTTAATACCAACGCAGGCGTGCGCCAAGCACAGGCGGGGTCACACCCAGCGAAGCAAGAAAGCAGAAAAGCCCCTTGGGGGTAGCTGGGCGGAGCCGGAGGCCCCACCCCCGGGCCTACTACATTTCCCTAAATTCCGTGCGGCCGCGAAGACTCGCTCTCTGGGCGCAGAACTAAGACTTGCCGCCTGGGATTGGGAGTCAGGTTACATGGGCCGCCCAAGTGGACGCTAGTGGGGAGATCTGAAAGGATTGGCTAGTGAGAGTTCGAGTCCCGCCCACATATGGTGACGACAGGCGGTCGTCTGGCTACTTAAGGCGTCGTGGTCTCGCCCGCCCCGCCTTAGCTCCCGCGCTAGAGAGAAACATGTATCGTTTCCGATCACAGCTCTTCACGGGGATTTCTGCTGCCGCCACCGCCCATTTTTACCCCCGCCGCTTCTCGCCTCTGTTGTTAGCCGAAGACTCGCCTCTCAGCCGCCCGCCTCACAGACGTACGAGTAGAAAGTGCAGCTCCATCGGCTGATCCTCGCTAAACTCCGAGTTTAGACGGCACCGGGCGTCCCACGATGCCGAAGAATAAGAAGCGGAACACTCCCCACCGCGGTGGCAGTGGCGGTGGTGGCGGCGGCTCAGGGGCAGCTGCAGCAACGGCAGGTAAGGGGTATCCCCGCCACGGCGTCCTGGTGCCGGCCGGGTTGGCGAGGCTCCCAGCCCGGGGCGAGTGGGAGTTGTAGTTCCGTCTTGCCTTCGGACGTTTGCGTCTCCCAGGCGCGTGGTGTGGCTGGCAAACTACAGTTCCCAGCGTGCCCTGGGTGCCGTGCCTCGCGCGATTTGGTTCCAGCGTGTGAATCACACTTCGGGCACCGGCCGCTAGGGCAGGGAGGAAAGGGCCCTTGGGCTTGAGTGTGTGTTGGGATGAAGGTGCTCTGGAGTTGCGTGGGAAAGGAGCTGTCCCCAGAGACTACTGCTAGTTAGCCCTAGATGACCAAGAGCCGGGTAGAGGTGGAGTTGCGCCCGTGCTGTCACCGGCCGCCTGTGAATCCCAGCTTCAACATGGAGTTCTTAGGAGTGCCAAACGTCTGGCGGGTTTGGACCCTCTCCTGCGTCACGCGGCCTGGACCTTACGCTATGCGGCCGGGATGACGCAGAGGCGATGACGCAGAGGCGCGCGAGTGGCTTCCATTCTGCTGCCTTCCAGCGCATCCTGCGTGTTTCACCTGGCGGGGCGGAGACGTCGGAGGATGCGGCCACCGCCCCACCTTTGGTTGGGACCTTGCTCAGTACTAGCACCTGCAGAAGTCACGCACTCCTGCCCCATTGCGGCTAGTCGAGGCGACCTCCTATTCCCCCAGGCAGAAACCACGTTCACCTTTAGTGCTGTATTCTGTGGGTTCTCTGCAGTGAATCAGGTGGCAAGGAACTCAGTTTGCAGTTGGCGAAAAGTTTAGGGTTTGGGGGCCCTTACTGCAAAGTAGAAGCTTTTCCTAATGGGTAGGTGTTAACTGTATTTACGTATAATACGGTTAAGAAAAAATTCCAACCGGAAAGTCAGTCCTACAAGACACCACACTAATCTCAATTAAAGTAGTCCAAAACTGGACACAGTCATCTCATTTAGTAATTGTTGAAATTATGGAGTTGAATATTGGGATATCCTTGGAGATCATCCAGCTAATATTAGCCATTGGGTATTTATTGACACAGTTGCCACTCTTTCTGATCCTCAGAATGATATGCCTTTGATTAAATAGTAAATATACCAGTTATCTTGTTACAGATTATTGGAAACTGTATGGCAGCCTGAACACTTATGATCATGTATTATACACTTAATAATTGACATTGGAAATGGATGATTACAAATTCAATCCTTCTTTATGTTGCTATCCTGATTGAAAGCTCTCCATTTTGGTGAAATTTATTCTTTATCAAGCTGCTTTGGGCCAACTGAGGATACCTCTTATCCTCTGTTTCAGTGTTCCTTATTTGAAATACACATTTCAATTCTGCCTAGAAGACCATAATTTTATTTTGTGTGTGTGTTGATAAAATGGAAGTAATGAGAAGCAGCAAGCAAACTGAAGTTTGGAAATTAGTAATAGTGGTCTTTATGAATCACAAACATTCCCTTTTGAAGCTTCCTGGCATACCTCTTTCCTTTCTTGTTCAGTACTTAACTGTAGAGGTGTCTGATGGCTGTAGGGGAATTGCCTTTAATATTTTGCCTCAAGGATGACTTGTGACCTGTCCACCTTATCACAGCCCGCCTTTTTAGCAGAAAAGGTTCATTTAAACACTGTATTTTAGTATATACAATACAAACATTTAAAACTCTTAATTTTTAGCACATACTGGCAAATAGAAAGTAATTCTTTGAATAGTCTATAAAATTACATGCTTCCCAAGTTTTTGGATGTTTACGTTAGAACTTATTAACTCTGGTTTTCTCTTGTGAGTAGGACTGGGGGAGGGGTGGGTATGAGATTGGCTTTTTTTAACTTGATCTCATGGAATATTTTGCCTATTTGATAAATAATAAGCAAGAAATAGTGGAGTAGAAGAGGTAGAAATTTCACAAACTTGAAAACCACTTAACTTACTAATTTTTAAAATAATATGTAGATGAATGAGATTTAAATGATGTCTCCATTATATAGCCAAATAGATGACCAACTTCTCTTTATCACTTTAATGAACTTTCCATTGAGACTGGAAATTTCCAGAAAGCTAAGAAAATCTAATACAAGTATGCCCACTTATGGTGATTAAAAATATATATATATAATTTTTCTTAGTTGTAGTTAGACACAATACCTTCATTCTATTCATTTATTTTTATGTGGTGCTGAGGATTGAACCCAGGGCCCCTCACATGCTAGGCTAGCGTTCTACCGCTGAGCCACATCCCAGGCCTAACTTGTGGTGATTTAAAGAGAGCATTTTGTTGTGGTAACTAGATATAGAACCCAGGGCCTTGTGCATACTGGACAAGCTCTGAAGGGAGCAATTTTCAGAAAGGAAAAAAAAATCATAATAAATCCTGTGGAAATAAGGACTTTATGTATCTAGAGTGCCACCTCATTAATAGGTGAGTTTGTCAGACTCACAAAGTTTGACCCAGATATCAGGCATTCATGCAGGGTTTTTCCCCTTGTTTTTTTTTTTTGTTTGTTTGTTTCTTTTTTGTTTTCTTCTCTTAATCCCTCTTTCCCTTGACTTTGGGGAAAAAAAGGAAATGGAAACTGACTATATAGTCAAGAGAAGTTATTGAACTACTCTTAAAAATGGCTGAATATGAAAAATTAAAAATGTAAATTGACTTGTGAGTTGTAAAATTAATCAGATGACGCTCAACTGTTGCCATGATTTCTAGTCATGAAGACAGTGAAGATGGATCCAGAAATAGAGTACAGCATCATAGATCTTTGTTTACTTTTATTTTAAGCGCGGTGATTGTGAAATTTTAGGATCTTGGTTTCATTATTCTTCATGCTTTACTACTTTGGCAATAAGCAAGAAAATTGGAAGGCTACTTGCTATGTTAATTTAAAAATCTGCTAAGTTCTCTGTTTTGATTAAAAAGAAATAATGACATGCCCTATTTGAAAGAAAAATAACTCATTTTAACTTACAGGATTTAAAAAATAAGGTAGTAAATAATATGAACTTTTTGAATGTAGGGTCTTTGTGATATTTGGTATAGTCTTTGATTTCCCAACTAAGAGAAATAGGGCTTAGGTAAATCAGGTGATTTGAAGGCACTCTTGGGGTAGAATTTGTAGCTCATTCTAGTTCATTCAGTGTTCAGTATAATTTATAACTGAGTAACCTTTATTCCATCAAATATTTTTAATGGTGTATTGTTACATATAACAATGGAATTTGTTATTACTTATTCATATGCGCACACAATATAATAATATAATTTGGCCAGTAGCTAGTTTTTTTATTAATATGAAATTCCTAAGTTATCATGAATTTGTTCCATAAGTTGATGATATTGAAAGAAATATTCTGGTTTTTAAAAATTTTTTTTTTGTATTAATAGCATGGATATTTTTAAATTTGAGTATATTGGAACCTTAATTTAACAAGCTTTTATGACATATGAAATAGCAAAGTTTCTATTTGAAGCCTTTTCTCTCTCTCCTTTTAATTCAAATTATCTTTAAAACTACCTTACCTTACCTCTAATTTAACATAAAATGTAGTCTAAATGTTTGCATATATAGCAACAAAATCATCTTTTCTGTCTAATAGGTGGCCAGCATCGAAATGTTCAACCTTTTAGTGATGAGGATGCATCAATTGAAACAATGAGCCATTGCAGTGGTTACAGTGATCCTTCCAGTTTTGCTGAAGATGGTATGAATTTTAAATATAATCTGCCAATTTGAGATAAAAAGTTGTTTAAGGTGAAGGAATTCTTATAGCTAAAGTATATTATAATTGTTCCTCTATCTGCTTTTTCCCTTTTTAAAATTACATTGATGGTTTATAATTATTCCTTAGGGCCAGAAGTCCTTGATGAGGAAGGAACTCAGGAAGACTTAGAGTATAAGTTGAAGGGATTAATTGACCTGACCCTGGATAAGAGGTAGGAAATACTAAAAACTCTCCATTCTGGGTGATTCTGATCAGCCACCTTATAATTTGGGCAGTTCTGTGATACAGCAATGTTTTTCTGATGCTTTTTTGTTTACTTTGGAGGAATTAATGTTTTTTGTTCCTTTAGCCTATTAATGTGGGTAGTAACTTGACACTAGGATTTAGATCAATTTGAATTGGTCATTATTCTGGCATATATGTAACTGTATTTTGTTACAGTAGAAATAGATTTATTGAATTAAAGTTAATCTTCAATTAGAGATGATAATTAAACTTTGCTTTAAGTTGTATGTCCACTGATTTTTGTATGGACATGAAAAATATCAAAGCTGTGTTGTTTTCTTTATAGTAGTTGTAGAACTTACTAAGGGATGGAATTGTAAAGCCCAGAAGATGCAAACATTGTAGTGTTAAAAATGTAAACTTACTATAATACTGGAGAAATCACACATTGAGACTGTGAAATATTATTCACTCAGAGTTCTGCCTATCAAACTAAAAAAACAGAAAAATGTTCTGATATAAGCAGCTTAAAAATCTTTTATGTATTAAGGTAGGTTATATATGAAAATTATTGAAAAATGTTTAGGACTTGAAGATAATTTAGATTTAAACATTGTCTAGTGGCAACATTCTCAACTAGATCTTTCTTGTTTTAAATAGTGTGAAGACAAGGCAGGCAGCTCTTGAAGGTATTAAAAATGTACTGGCTTCAAAAATGTTTTATGAATTTATTCTGGAAAGAAGAATGACTTTAACTGATAGCATTGAACGCTGTCTAAAAAAAGGTAATCACCCTTATTTTTGAGTAAGTGGCGCAGAATTAATGATGAATTTGCTGTCTTCTTTGCAATGACATTTGTTAATGACATTAGCAATTCTAGTTTAGTCTTTATGATAGTCAAGGAATATTGCATGCTTGTTATAACCGAGAATGAGATTTGTTAGAGACTTTTGTTTTTATTTATGTAACAAACATGGAAGGATTGGGTTGGATTGTCATCTTTGGTTCTATCCTAAGAGGTGATTGCTACTCTCTGATTAGATATAGAAGTCTTGAAAGTGTGTATTATTTCAAAAGACCTCCTACTTCATTTTCTGATTTGCACAAATATTATGTCATCTAGCTCATTTTCCCTTGCACTTATTTAGAATATCCATTGTACTTGTAGAAGATATCACTTTTTAAGATATCCCTTGGAATGTTTGCCTTCTAGAACTTTGTAGTTCTAGAATTCTGGAATTTATATTGTTTCAATGATAGAGCTTGTAAGGATAAAGAGAGACCTTAAAGATTCAGCTTATTATTACCAGACTTTTCAGTTTTAGAAACCACAAAATTAGATAGATTATTATCTACCAATTCACATATCTTGCCAAGCACATTATAAAGATAATTACCTTCTATCATTATTTTTTTTAACAAAATACTTATAGCACCAAAAATGTAGAAAGCATATATTTCTTTAAAGTGAATGAACTTTATGTTCTTATTTTTCTCATTTTGCTTCAGGATGGAAGCTTTGTCATGAATGAAACCCTTGATTGATTTCACCCTCTCATTATACAGAATAAGGAAAGGCATTGGGAAAGCCAGACAGCTCTTAAGCCCATAAATTTTTAGTGGTATAGCTGATAGCAGAGCCAACTGTATTTGAGATAACACAGTAGCTTTTTTTTGCATGTATGGCCCCAAGGATTGAACTGAGCATGTGTGCCACAGCATCCAGTGTACGCAGTGACTTTTAAAAATATACTTTGCATTAAAACTGTCTCGTAATGGTAGTTGGACTAGCTAAGTTTAAAAATTTCATTGAGGCCTGCACATTATAGATTTTTAATTTGCAACATAATAGATTTCTATTGCCTTACACCCTTTTGTGCATATGGTTCTCAAAAAAAATCGTTTATATATGAATGTGGTTTCTATTTTTAATCCCTTATTCATTCAAAAACATTTTGAAGGGAAATCTGAAGAATTACCTCTTGGGCTGTGTATATATGAAATGCTTGGAGATTAATTCAAGGATTGCTTGAACATGTTCATTATGAATATCTTATGGAGTTAGAAGGCAGAAATTGACATGAAACATGTTATTTTGTTGAACCAATGTAGTAATCCCTTAACAGCGTTACTTATCTTCATTTTACAGATGAGGAAAATCATCTATAACTAAGCGAAGATCATTTGAATAGTTAGTGGCTGGTCTAGGATTTGAGTGAGGTCTGTTTCTTAAGATTCACCACTGTGGCCTCACTGAGTTTATACCTTATGTCAAAGTCTGAAGTGTAGGAAGGGTTTCATAAATGGTAGATGCCATTTTGTATTTGAAAAAATTTGGGAATTACTATCTTAATAAGTTAGTCTGTTGAAAATAATTAGTTATGGTTGTATTTTGGCTTCTTTTGTAGGGAAGAGCGACGAGCAGCGGGCAGCTGCAGCGCTTGCTTCTGTTCTTTGTATTCAGTTAGGCCCTGGAATTGAAAGTGAAGAGATTTTAAAAACTCTTGGACCAGTCCTAAAGAAAATAATTTGTGACGGGACAGCTAGTATCCAGGCTAGGCAAGCTGTAAGTATAAGATTTTTAATAAGTTTACAGATCTATCTAGGCTTGATGCCCAGCATTCGATATAAAACAAATTCCTACGTCTTTGAAATTGAAGATCATAATACAGATAAATATTATATTGAGTTATTTAGGGTTATTATAGAATAATTTTGATTGGCACTTAAATAAATGATCTGGACTCTTTAATTGGGTAGTTATTTTTTATTACTAACAATGTTATTTTTTTTCTTTTTGATTGCTATGTCCTAAGTAAGTTCTTTTGAAAAAGATGAATATGGGTAGGCATAGCAATCTCTGAAACTCTGGCCTGTGAAATATTTATCTGTTTTGAAGTTTGAGAAAGCTTTGATTTTCTAATTGTTTGGATACTTTCTTGGGGAGGGTGGAACCGGGGATTGAACTCAGGGGCAGTAGACCACTGAGTCACATCTCCAGCCCAATTTTTGTAATTTGGAGACAGGGTCTCATTGAGTTGCTTAGTGTGCCTTACTTTTGCTGAGATTAGCTTTGAATTTGTGATCCTCCTATCTCAGCCTCCTGAGCCGCTGGAATTATAGACATGTGCCAGCACGCCCAGCTTAATTGTTTGATACTTTTTAATAATTTGGAAATTATTTAAGTTTTATGAGATTTCTACTTCTGAGTGCTTATTTCTTGGAAGTAGCTTCGTTCTACAAGTTTTCATAGTAGAGTCTTTATAAAAACCAATGAAGGCCTGGGGTGGTCGCTCAGAGGCAGAGCACTTGCTTGGCAAGTATGAGGCACTGGGTTCGAGCCTTAGCACTACATAAAAATAAACAAATAAATGGCATCTGTCCATCTACAACTACAAAAAAAAAAATGAATCTCGGTGGTTTTAAAAATGTAAAAAAACAGTAACAGTCTTAATACAAAAGGTCCTTAATAGAGTGGGCTTGTTTATTGCAAATGTCCAAGTTTCAGCTCCATCTTAAAAGTTAAAGGTTGAAATGATCTGCTAGACACCTATACTGCATACAATAAGGAAACAATGGGAATAGTTAGTTCACCTCTTCAAACGCTTCACTCGCATAAGTTAAATCATAGACTGTGGGGCTAGAGTGGATTTAGAAATTAGGGCCTGGGGTTGTGGCTCAGTGGTAGAGTGCTTGCTTAGCATGTGTGAGGCACTGGGTTTGATTCTCAGTACTGCATATAAATAAATGAATAAAATAAAGGTTCATCAACATCTAAAATTTTTTTTTAATGAATACATTCATCACCCTTCAATTTTATGAATTAATAAAAGAACCAAGAGAAACAATCACTTTCCTAAAGTTGTATGGAGTTTGGTAGCGGAGTATGAACTAAAGTGCACTTCCTTTGACTCTTGGTCTAATATTCTTTTCTTCTCCCCTGCTTCGTGCATATACTGTCCTTAGGATGTCGTAGAGTCAGGTAGTTGAGAAAATTTTCATACTGAATTACAAAAGTGCATGTAAAATTAATAAGAAAGCTAAGCATTGATCTCTATATGTTTTTTTTTTTTATTTCAGTGTGCAACTTCCTTTGGTATTTGCAGTTTTATTGCCACAGATGATATTACTGTAAGTAGAAAACTTTGACTTCAGTTACATATGATTATTTCTAATTTATGATGGTTACTTTATGTCATATTCTTATTCATTAGGAGCTGTATTCAACTCTGGAATGTTTGGAAAATATCTTCACCAAGTCCTATCTCAAGGAGAAAGACAGTAATGTTATCTGCAGCACCCCAAACACAGTGCTTCATATCAGCTCACTTCTCGCATGGACATTATTACTGACTATATGCCCAATCAATGAAGTAAAGAAAAAGCTGGAGATGTATGTGTTTTTAGTTTCATATTTTGTAAAAACATTTAGTTGACATAACTGTCTCATTCACATTGTAATGACTAACTATTTTTTAGGCATTTCCATAAACTTCCAAGCCTCCTTTCTTGTGATGATGTAAACATGAGAATAGCTGCTGGCGAATCTTTGGCACTTCTTTTTGAATTGGCCAGAGGAATGGAGAGTGTAAGTACCTAATTGGCAGAGGAAAAAGCTTGTGCCACAAGGATTGTTATTCCAACATTACCATCACAATTAAGAACTGGATGATAAATTTACAGGATTGCTTAGTGAGAACCTTGTGATTGAGCTGCTTCTTAGCACTGATGATACTTCTGAGAGCATAAACCAATAGAAGTTTGGTAGAGCAATATTTGAGTATAGTTCATTATACTTGAATTTTACTATCTGTTGAATTGAAGTATAGGGGGATGATGTATTCACTGAGAAAGTTGTGTAATTTTAATGGAGATGTTTGGATTTCTCCAATACCTAACATATTAAGGTAACTTAATCATGTGATGCTTTATAATATCAAATGAGTGAAGTATTAGGTTAACAGGTTTGGAATGAGATGACTTTATAATCATTGTCATTTAACATCGCCTTTTTAGAGTGGTACATGTGCCTTCCCTATCCATTTTCTACTCATGGATGTTAGTTACCATGGCTTGGCTCTCAGAGGTAATTGAGTTTGTTTTAGTTTGATAAGCTATCCCAGTTTACTTGGAACCTTTTTGGGTTTAGCATTAAAAGTCCTGTGTTCCAGGAAACCTATTGTCTCAGGCAAACTGGACTCTAGTTTATAATTTCTAGTCTAAGCATTGCTGAAGAAAGGAATGCATCAGATCTTAACTGCAGGAAGGGGAATTTTTTCTTAGATACATGGTTCAGATAACGTGCTGTTGTATGCCAGCTGGGTGCAGTGGCCAGGAGACTGAAGCAGGAGGATCATAGGTTTGAGGTCAGCCTTGGCAAGACCATGTCTTAAAATTAAAAAAAGAAACTGGGGATGATTCATGTCCCTGAGGTCAGTCCCTAGTACCACATTAAAAAATAAATAAATAACAAAGTAAGGTAAAGGACCAGCTTTTACTGCCTGTATGTCAAGTCCATAGATATGTTTACTATCCAGATAAAAAAATAAGGATCCAGTAAGGAAATGCATATATTTATGGGAAATTGGTAACTAAATAGAAGATACTATTTCTAACCTTCAGTTACTTTCACTAGATGCTTTTTTAAATCTGAGGAGTAAACAGTCATTTTCAAACTGCATTTTTTTTTCCTGCAATTTTGTAACAGTGCATATTTCAAATACAATTGATACATTGTTCTGGATTGTATGCCATGTTTATTTAGTCCTTTGCATTCCATTCTAGGCCTGTATGTTAAAAATGTCTACTCATAATTTTTCTGTAGTCCCACTTTTCTTTTAAGGGTAGGAGATAGGAAGGAGAAGTAAGTTAATGTTAATGATTCTCCTTATGTAAAAACTTGGCCTCAAATTTAGTCATCAATTTTATTGAGCTAGTTAATGGTTTCTTAACCTCAAAGCACAGACACCCAGATGTCCCAATTTTTAATCTTACATTCCTTTGCTGGCTAGAAATGTTAATTTTTATGTTCACCTTTTAAATGCATCTTAAAAGGAAAGTTGTAATGCAATTTAAATTATACATGTTCAATTTGTTTAAATTTGTGTAAATGTATTACCACTGTATATCTTAATCTTTGACTTAATAAATCATAGATAGCTAGGAGAACTCATCCAAATGTGTTTATACGACTTAAATCCTTGTCCAAGGGCAAAAATGAGCTGTTACAAACAGAACCGAGTCTGCCATTATTTTTAAGTATTTAAGCTTTTCATATATGTAGAGGTGGTAGTTACAGGATGATTGAAAATGAATTAATCCAAGGGAATGTAACTCTGTGGTAAAGAGCTTGTCCTTATTCTGCTTAACTTTTGAAATCATTTAATTTTGCTATGCTGTTATTTAGGTAACAAATAATAATCTTCAGCCACCTACTTTGTTGTATTTATATTATGTTAGATTGAATAGGCTATATCTTATAATGTTGAAAGCCATTAGGGATTAATGTATGTTTATGTACTGTTTTATATACTTTTAATATTTTATTTAATCTTTATTAAATACCTATGAAATGTGGATAGCATTAATTCCTTGCATTTTACATAAGAGGAACCTGAGGCACAGATGGCTAGTATGAATATGCCCAAGGTTGTAAATGGTGCAGGCTTGTGATTCAAACTTAATGCAAAATACATGCTTTACATATGATTAAACTGCCTCATCCAGGTGTTTCACAGGTTTTTAGAAAAATACAAGTTCCATGTACATTCCTCTAAGTGTAGAATTCTGATATAATAGTTAATGCTTCAGAATTTATTGACAAATTTATTTTTATTATCTTATTTAATCCGTAACCAATGTATGGGAGTGTGGATATTCTCTTTTGACAGATAGATGATAAAACAGATTTATAATTCTTAAAACTTAGTGTAGTGGGTAGTATATTTGAAATTCTAGTCCAGGACTTTTGACCTTGCTATGTAATAATTACTGTGTGAGTTACATATATGTATACACACACACACACAAAGGAAGGGAAAATGTAACATTACCTACATATATACATACATACCCAGATTTCCAAGCACTTTATGAAGACTTTTTTTTTTTCTAATATTGTATACATTTCTTTCCCATCTTTTAGTATTTTATTGAACTCAGTGATTCATCATCTAAAAAAGGTTTTTGTTGTTTGGTGTGTGTGTTGGATACTTTTGTGTTTGGGGCTGTCTTGTGCATTGTAAGATGTTTAGTAACGTCCCTGGCCTCTGTACTCTAGATGCCAGTAGCACTCTTCTCCCCTAGTTGTGACAACTAAAAATGTCTCCAAACAGCCAAATGTCCTTTGGGAGTCAAAAGTGTATCTAGTTGAGAATCACTGGCAGTGGTTCTTAGTTCTTAGAATTAATTAAGATGATGTATAGAATTTGCTTAGATTTTTATTCATCTTTATAGATTTTTCAAATCTTTCATACTTCTGCTCACTAAGTAGTTGAGACTAGCCTCCAACTTGTGATCCTCCTGCCTCAACATTCTCAGTTGCTGGGATTAGAGGTGTGTGCACCATGATTGTGTGTCTTAGTTTTTAATGTGGTTGTAAAATGGAGTTGGGAGGGCAGAGGATACAACTCAGAGTAGAGGGCTTGCCTAGTATGTGTGAGCCCTTGAGTTTGATCCTTTGTACATCCCCACCCCCACCCACATAAATGGAGTTAGGGAATTGAGAAAAAAGGACCAAATAAAGAGACTTCTTAGAATGTATTAGCAGGTTTACCAGGAAATTCTTAATCAGTTTTAGGTAATAGCAAATAATGTACTTAGTAGTTTCCCCTGAATGAGATTAAAGTATCTTCTTGCCTTAAATAATTTAATCACTTAAATTGTGTACCTGATATGAATGCTTCATTGCTTAGAAATTAAGAAGTTTAAAAAGCATTACCATTGGGCCAGGATTGTGGCTCAAGCGGTAGAGCGAGTACCTAGCATGCGTGAGTACTGGGTTTGTTCCCTGGTACCACATAAAAGTAAACAAATAAAATAAAGGTATTGTGTCCATCTACAACTAAAAAGATATTGGGGGGGGGGTGGGGAAGCATTACCAGTACCAGTCTTTGGAAATTGTATTTCCCTGAAATGAGTGATTTGGGGTTGGGTAGCCAAAGAGTAGAAGTCTAGTAGTGTAAAAATGTATCACTGAACATTTTAAAATCTCAGTAATGTCTTGTATTAGTGGGAGCACAATTGTTGAATGCATCTGGATACATTTGGAAGGGGGACCATTAACTCTTTTGTGGTAATTAGCATTTCTGTAATTAGCATTTTTGGATTAAAATTTTTCATGATAATATAAATGTGTCTGGGCACCAAAATCTTTAAACCCTTTACATTTTTGTGTTCTGTTTAACTAGATGTTTTTTAAAGGTAGGCTATTTTTTGTTAACTCTAGAAGAAACTTTGTAAAAATTTAAAAACAAAAACAAGTAAAATGAAATTGCTCTGCTTTTTCAGGACTTTTTTTATGAAGACATGGAGTCTTTGACACAGATGCTTAGAGCTTTGGCTACAGATGGAAATAAACACCGGGCCAAAGTGGACAAGAGAAAGCAGCGGTCTGTTTTCAGAGATGTCCTGAGGGCAGTAGAGGTAGGCCTCTTAAATGCTTTGTAATAGGTATTTACTTTAAAATTAAATTGTTTCAGGCTAAACTCTACAATTGAATCATTTTGTTGATTGAATTTGTTATTCATTCAAAATTTCCGCATTTAAGACCATGCAGGTTTTTAATAAGTAGGTGAAGAATTTTTTTTTCCCCTTATAGAGGCAAATTTAATGCTGCTGTATAAAGGTATTTTATTTTTAGATTTAAAAAAAAAATAGGGCTGGAGGTGTAGCTCAGTGGTTAGAGCACTTGCCTAGGATTTGGAAGACCCGGAGTTTATCTCCTAGGACCACCAAAATTGAAAGCAAAGACCTTTTGATCTCTGTAGCAAGGGTAGGCACTAAAACCTGAAATAATAAAACCCAGCATCTTACCAAGACCACTTAAAATTATATGATGCTTAATTTCTTCTGTAGTCCTAATTTGCTTCAATGTATGTTGCCAATAAATAGATGTAGAAACTTGTAGGGATTAGAGTGCATGATTAAAACAAGCTCTAGAGATGCTCAGGCCGCACCCTAGATCCAGTTTTGATGTGTTACTGTGATACTCATATGTATCCTACTTTCTTCGTTTTGATCTACCTTTTATAAAGTATAACCTAAGATATAAATTAGATCCTCTGGGATCTAAATACTTCTGCTATGGTGACTGTAACTGCTTCCTAGTAAGTTATATTTACTCTGGATTTTATAATCTAAAGACCAAAATAAAATCCTCTAAATAGAGCAGACATCAGTGCTAAGAATTGAAATTGATTTTATTATAGTGTGGCAGTGGCCCTAAATTACACAAATCATTTTAGAAATGACTATAAACTACTTCTATATTTAGATTTTTTTGTGTGTGTGATACTGTAACCTTCAAAGATAAGATGAAGATGTGTCCTAGATTTTCTGGATTTCATATTTTCTGTCTTTATGCATTCACTCTAAGTAATCAATTGTAAGGGTTTGACAGCCAGGCATCTTATTGATCAGCTTAGGTCACTATAGCACTCAGCACCTGTTATTCTGAAATCTCAGTTTACACACTAGCATTGTCAAGTCTCTTGTCTCTACTCCTCAGCCCTGCTAAAATTTGAAGCCATTCTTATCCTCTAGTCTGTCTTCCCTTCTAGGCCTTACCTAACCTTTCTTCTTCATCTAAGAATATGAGCCCCTTTGTTCTTCCATTGAGCTTCCTGTTATTCTAGCTTCTGCTTTAAGTGTAGCTATCATTCAGTGTACCTTCAATCTACCTGTCAAACCTCCTTGCTAGGTATTACGTCCCCATCCTCACCTGCCCCTCCATTGGAATCTAGTTTTTTCTAAAGGATCCTGCTTCCTTGATGGATCTTTCAAATAAAGGCTGCTGAACCTGCCATAGAGGAGAATTAAGCATCTTGCGATAGTGGCCACCACACCATTTCTTTTTATCTAAAACCTTTCTTGAAACTCTTGTATTCCTTAAATCTGTAAGCATATTAGGTTTTATTATTTTAGTTTCACTATTAGTTTCACTCTTAAGCAATACAGCTATCTCCTTTTTAGGGAAAAGGGAATTAAGAACAGTAAGTAGCAAAGCCAAAATTTAAACACACTGTGCTTTGCTTTTTCAGCAGGGCCAGAAGTCAAGTGAGAGAGTGAATGTTTCAAATAGATCTGTCAATTGGCCATTGGTGACCTTTTATAAGTACAGCTTTAGTACAGTGGAAGAAAAGCCAGATTGAAGTGAACTAGAAGTGAATGGAGAGCTGGGTGCAGTAGTGCATGCCTGTAATCGCAGTAATTTGGGAGGCTGAGGTGAGAGGATTGCAAGTTTGAGGCCAGCCTCAGCAAGTTAACAAGGCCCTGTCTTAAAATTTTTTAAATAATTAAATGAAAAGGACTGGGGTGTAGTAGCTCAGTGGTAAAGCACTCCTGGGTTTAATCCCCGTTCTGGGGATTTAAAAAAAAAAAAAGTAAATGGGGAGTGAATAAGTGGAGTCAATATATCTATCCCAGCTGTTCTTTTAAAATGCATAAGCAGTAGAAAAAGGAAGAGAGTTGATGGCTATAGTGCTGAAATGTAGAGTTTGTTATAGAGAAAATTTGAAAATATAAGAGAAAGATTGGGATTCACCTTGAAGAGCAAAGGTGTGTGGGGTCTGTTACATTTAGGATGGAGACAGGACTAGATAAGGATGCAGCTGAATTTATAGAGGTTGGGTGGATGGGAAATAAGAATTCTTCCCTAGTGTCTCAGTGTTTTCTGAAACAGAAGTTGAAATAGAATGTGACTTTTTTTTTTTTTTTTAGTTATTGCTAAACCAGAGTCTTATATGTGCCTTACAGACATGTTTTCTCTTGTCCCTCTAGTAATTCTCACCATGGTATATATATAGGTAGCCTCTTTTTGCGGGCAAAGGAGCAGACTCGAGGAGGTTAAATCAGAAATTGCAAGGCAGTGAATGGTATGTCCATGTGTAGTAGTCACATTATTTTCTACTGCAGTGTATTCTGTGTCTACTGAGAGAGAAGGGGGGGCCTGGGTAGCGTAGGATGGGCAGTTGATCTCAAGTTTCATCACCTTCTTTTTCCTTTCCCTGTGATAGTCAGATGATCTATTTCTGGTTATTCTTATTCTTAAATATTCATAGTTCTTTAAAAAATTAAGTAGCCAGTTTTCTTCTACCAAGTTCTGTTGCCCTTCTGGGTGACATTATCCATCAGGAAAGCCCTATCTTATATTTGTTCCATTGACGTTGTTTCCTTTTCTCTTGGTCCATATCATCATGGCTCTTAGAAATGGTCTCCTGGCAAAATAGTTCCATTTCTGAAATCTTAATCTCACTCAGGTGCTACCTTTGGTTTTCTTAATAAACTTAGTTTGAGACCTATTGGAACCTCCTGGTTGTTGGATCTTCTTTTGCTTGGTCTTTCCACCCTAATCTTTACTTCTTTCCCTAGATCCCTTCTGCTCATCAGTTCACCACTTGCCTTGTGCCATTTTTGTCTTTCAGATTACTCAACAGCCTTCTTCCCTTCTCTTGGACCCATTACAAACATTTGATCTCTTTTCTGGTTTTTTGTTTTTTTTTTTTTTCTTTTTCAGTACCAGGAATTGAACCCAAGGGCACTTAACCACTTAGCCATATCCCCATCCCTTTTTTATATTTTATTTAGAGACATGGTCTTACTGAGTTGTCTAGGGCTTTTTTCGTAGTTTATTGAGTGCTTTCAAAATTATTTTAAGTGTTCTCCACAGTACAGTTTTGTCATTAATATTTATTCTAACTCAGTTGTCTATCTTTAAATCTTCATAGTTAGACAAATTCTGTACTCTAACCCAGGATAGTAATTCTTAGTCTGTTCACATCTCAGATATGGAAGTATTAGTTTAAAATATTGCTCAAGTATCTCAGCATGTATCTTGTCTGTTTAGAAATTGTGTTTATATAATATGTCTTTGGGCCATTTTTAGTGCTGGTGATGATTTGCCTCTTCTTTTGGCTAGGAACGGGATTTTCCAACAGAAACTGTTAAATTTGGTCCTGAACGCATGTATATTGATAGCTGGGTCAAGAAACACACCTATGACACCTTTAAGGAGGTTCTTGGATCAGGAATGCAATACCACTTGCAGGTGAGTGATACCTTTCTACATATTTACTTATAAATTAGTGATCTGCTTTGAATGTAGATCACTTTGAAGTTAATTGAGTATCCAGAAAGCTTTCACGTGTTAGAAAAAAGTAAATTTACTTTTGAAAGTAAAATGAAATAATTTTTGTATAAATCCGGAATGTTACTGATAACTTTTTATGAAAGCAAATAGCTTCACTTAGATCTCTTGGATTCAAGGCATGGAAAATAATTTACCTTTTTATTGAGAAACAGAATAAAAGTACAGGTCCCACATAACTTCTATTAATCAGATTTGTTTAGTAGTGAAAGAGTTGTGATATTTAATATTGAGCCTTATCTCTTTTTCTTATACAAGTCAAATGAATTCCTTCGCAATGTATTTGAACTTGGACCCCCAGTGCTGCTTGATGCTGCAACACTTAAAACAATGAAGATTTCTCGTTTTGAAAGGGTATGTTTTGTTTTTATTTTTAATAGAATTAAAATACACCAAAGAAAACTGAATCTAAAGATTTGATTCTGCCTGATGACAGGAGAACTGTGTCTACTGCTAAATGGAAATTTTAGTTTTTCATAATGTTGCACACATAATAACTGTATTAAAAGTGTGGAAGCTTTATTGCATTTAGAGTGTAGGGGGTTTTAATAAAACTTTTTTACCCATAATCCTACTACCATAACATAGAAATGAGTATTTACACATATTTCCTTTGTTTAAGGTAATAGCTTACTTGGTACTAGATTCATTTTACAAATGAGGAAAACTGCTTGGGAGTTTGTACCATCAAATAGTGACTCATGTTATTTTCACTTTTTTTTTTTTTAACACAGGGACAGTTTACCATTGAGCTACATCCTCAGCCCTTTTTATTTTTTATTTTGAGACAGGGTCTCACTGAGTTGCATAGGCCCTGCGAAGGTGCTGATGCTGTCCTGGAACTTTGGATCCTCTTGCTTCAGCCTCCCTAGTTGCCGGGTTTAATTGTATTTTTGTTGTTGTTGTTCTTGTTAACATTTCAAAAATCTTTTAATTGTATTTTTGTTGTTGTTGTTTGTTTGTTTAATCAATGTAGATTGTTTTAAGTGTGCAATTCAGTCGAATTTAAATATTTCCATGACCTCAAAAGAAAACCTTTCACCTGTAGGCAGCCAGCCATTCTATATCTGGCTTTTCCCTTAGACACTGGCAAGCTCTAATCTGTCCTGTCTCTGCAATTACCTGTTCTGGATTTTTCATATTCATGGAAGGATACAATGTGATCTGTTGTGTCTGGCTGTTTTCATTTGACATAATGTTGTCAAAGTTCATCCATATTGTGGCATGTATCAGAATTTTATGCCTGGTGTGGTGGTGGCACACCTATAATCTCAATAGCTTGGGAGGCTGAGGCAGGAGGATCATCATTTCAAAGCCAGCCTCAGCAATTTAGTGAGGCCCTAAGAAACTCAGCAAGACCCTGCCTCTAAATGAAATGTAAAAAAGTCTTGGGGATGTGGCTCAGTAGTTAAGCACCCCTGGGTTTAATGCTGGTACCAAAAAAAAAAAAAGAAGAAGAAGAAGAATTTCACTCCCTTTTTTTGGTTGAATAATATTCTATTATTTGGATATGCCTTGGTTTGCTTTTCCATTTATCAGTTTATTTAGGCTTTTAACCCCTTTCAGCCTTTGTGAATAGAGCTGTTATAAATATTCACATAGAGTAGTGAATGAAGGCATGCACCACACAGATTTGACAGCTTTGGGTTTTATAATTTTAAAAATTTGTTAATTTAATAGGTATTAAAATGACACTTTTTTTCTTTCTTAATTGACAAGTGGGTAGTAGGACTTCTTCACATTAGACATGATTCGTCTTTTTCTTGATCAGACTAATTGATGCCATTGTTTACTTTTTGATTGGAATTTACTTGGTAGTTTACAAAGTGGGTTAATAATTTTCTAAATATGGAGTAGCCATGAATTGTTAATTTTCTCATTTACTCTTCTTGTTTGTAAACATTTAAAATATTGATAGGGTCAGATTAGTTCATTTCTTTACTTTATGATTTGCCCTTTCCCCCCATCTTTAAGAATATTTTATTAAGTTTTATTGATTCACATGTATTTTCCTGTTCTTCATTTCAGCATTTATACAATTCTGCAGCTTTCAAAGCTCGAACAAAAGCACGAAGCAAATGTCGAGATAAGAGAACAGATGTTGGAGAATTCTTCTAGATTTCTAGCACTTGCCAAATATTTTCTAATTTTTTTTTTTTAATTTTTAGCTATTTCTAATGTACATGAACTATCTTGGGTCAACTTAGATAATTTTTATAGTAAGGGTGGGTTATATTCCTCATAATTTAATGTATAGTATTGTAAATGATGATTTCTGATTATTTGAATATTCTCTGTAAATATCATCAGTAAACATGAATAAAGTGTTCGTAATGTTTGGTCACATTCTATTCATGAAAAGAACAAAAGGATGGTATTTCACTTGATTTCAAGATGCAAAAAGTTAGACAAGGTTTAATGTCTTATACTGTTGTCAAAAATACTGACTGATTATAATGGTGTTTACCTACAAGTTCTTAACTTAATCTCTTAAATATAAGTTTCTGATACAATTTTTGGGAGCTAGTTCCTCTGGAAAAGCTGCTGTGGTTTGAATTTTAAATGAATTGTAGCTTTTTAATTTTCATTTTGTCACTGGGATAAACTAAAGGTATTATACCATGAGACTTTACAAATGCTGCACTTATAGGCCATTCATTTCAGCTGTTTAGGATTCATGGTGTATTAATTAGCCTATGTCAGAAATAACCTCTGAGAGCAGTAACACTATTTTGCTGTATGAAACCTTGTTCTTTTTACTTTGAAATAAATAAAGATGTTTGCACACTGAAATCGCTTCTTCTTTACTAACAGAAACATTACTTACAGCTTTGAGGCAAAGTTCAAGTTACTCAAGCCAGGTAAGAAGGGAGTGAGACAAAATTTTATTTCTGTATTTGAAAATATTACTATGAAAAAAACCTGCAGCATTGTATAATTGGGATTAAAACTACTGAGAATATTATTACTAGGTTGTCGTTATGATGAGATGTTTTATTTTATGAAAAGTTGAACACTATTGACAATGCATTAAAATTTAATTGTTAAAATCATATAGCTTAAGCAACACATGCAGTTTAGAATCCATATACCCATTCCTTTGATTTTTTTTGCTGTAGAAACAGTGAGGGATGGGAATTGTGTACTTTGTAGAAAGAAATGTCAATCACTTCAGATTTTTTTTCCAAAAGAATTTTTTTCATTCCCACATCCCCAACAACTCCTGGAAGGTGTGATGTACCTACTAATTGAAAATCACTGGCTGGCTATGGTGTCACTTACGGAATTCCATCTTTCTGATACAGCACAGTAGGAAGCAGATTGGAATCTAAAACTTAGGTCTGTTTATTGTTACTTCTTTATATTCCAAGTAGGCTAGAATCATGGAAGAGACTTCAAATAATAGGGTTTTTTCACCTACATTTTCTGTTTCATGTTTGTATAATGTTTTTAAATATTATTGAATTTTTATTTACACACAGTTTGATAATACCTAAAGACTTATAAGGACACTCTCTCCCAGCCCCACTCCACCTCCCATTCCATCTTTTCTCATCCCAGAAGAGATTTAGCAGTTTAGCTTTCAGGGTTTTTTGTGTGTTTTTTATTTTTTAATTTTTTAGCACTTTGGTTTCATGTTTCTAAGTAACATGCTTCTATAACTATTATTTTAGACATTTGTCAACTTCCTATTGTGACATGGAAGATAATTCTTTTTGTCTTCTTACTCTTCAAATGTCACTGTTTGCATTACTGTGATTATATGAACTAATTTACTGTGCTTACATTTTCATTCTAATACACCATTTTGTCCTGGATTAATACTGTTATTTTACTTTATGTACATCATCAGTTCTTTCAAGATCTAAATAAATTTGTTAAAGTCCTTCATTTTTTACTTGATTCAGTGGAGACTTATTTTCTTTCATCTTAATGCATAATTGTTTTCCTGAAACTACACTATCCTGGGGATTTGTTTTCTGGACTTCATGTCTTCATTTTAGTTAACTTGTTACAGTAGAGTACTTCCAATGAGTGTCTTGGAAAGGAATACATATGGGATTAATTATTTTGTGGCTTAATGTTTATGAAATAATATGCTCAGTGTATGAAATTATACATCAAAAATCAAGTTCAAGATTTAAAAAAGATTAATTGATAAATAATTGTACTCAAGAATTTTAAAAGAATTGTTTTCTAGTTAGCAAAATTTTCAGATTTGCCGTGATTTTGTTTCGTCTTTTGCTTTTAAAATTGCTTTGTGGGTTTCTAAAAAAGTGCTTTGGTGGGCTTGACAATCTGGAAAATAATTGTTTTTCCTCTCTCCCTTCCCTTCCTATTTTCTGTGTTGCATGAGTTCCTGAGATGACTCTTACTCTTTTTCTGATTTTTTTTTTGAACATTTCATTAACCACAATTTTCCAATCGTCTTACATTTTATTTTGGTTATCATTACTTGCTGGAATTTAGCACCATGCTGCATTCTTGCCTCCAGATTATAAACCTGCCTGAATTCTGAGGGTCATTCAGCTCACTAATCAATGATAGTCAGGTTCCACTCTTCTATGTTCAGAACATTTGTTGAATCCCTTCAGTATTGTTGCCTCCTATTTTCATTTTTGTGGTTGTATTATTTTTCTTAATATTCTGCCTTACTTCTCGGGCTTTGGGAGGAAGAAAGGTGAGTTAGCCTGAATGTTGAATTTACATAGATGGGTAGACTTTTTAATGTATCTGATGGGTAATTTGGAAGGCAAGGATTACTGGGAATTCTTATAGAATGCATGAATTTCTTGAAAGTAATAAAATGCTGTTGTGATATGCCAGTCATTCATTGTTTGAGATTTGGTTAATCTTGCTGGTTTGAAGGAATTTGATATGGTTCCTGCCCTCAAGAATTAATTTTGAATTAATATCTATGACTCAAGTCTGATGGCATTTACTTAATTTCCTGGGAATTTAATCTAGATACCTTGAGAATAGTATTTGAAAGAGTAAGCAAGAAGTACTTGAAAATGTCCCCAGATTAAATGACATGAGAATTATTTTCTTCAGGTACTTAACAGATAAGATATAGCATGTCTTGCTTTGTTCTTCAATTGGTTTCTGGTAATCTAGTCTAAAGCTAGTCTCATCACCCTCATTGATGTACAGTTGAATTCAGACGTTAATATGATGTTTGGATTCATATTTTATCTTTGCCATTTAACAATGTATATATCCTTTGACTATTAAATTTCTTAGTCTTGAATTGGGTGCAATGGTGCACACCTATAATCCCAGCTACTCAGGAAGCAGGAGGATCTAAAGTGTGAGGGGTCAGTCTGGGCAACTTAGTTTGAAAACCCTATCTCAAAAATAAAAAATTAAAGGCTTGATTCAGTGGTAGAGGCCTTGCCTAGCATAGCAAGTCTGAATTCATTCTCCAGTACCAAAAAAACAAGTTTTTAATATCCATATTCCTTGTTTCTGACAGGGATTAATACTTGAGATTATAAGTTTATAGGAAAGAGGAAAAACAAGGCAGATACTTCTGTTTCTTCAAAAGATAGGTGATTTATGACATTAGTAGTTGGTAGGCTTTATAAATTATAGGCATGGCAAAAAGTAGCATTTTTATTAAAGAAATTTATCAGTTTTTAAATGTGTAATTAGATTTTGGAGAAAACTGTTACTAATACCATAGTCTTCATCAATAAATTTGTTCTTGGGTAGAGATGAGGCCTGAGAAAATGATCTTTCCCCCACAGCAGAATGAAGTCCCTATGGAAATTAGGTGTAAAGGGAGCTTTGGAGAGCACACATTTTCTAAATGATGTGCAAAAAGTTCCAAAGATAGGTCTGTCTAGTTGGCAAGTAGGATTATAAAGGACTACAGATCTGTTTACAGTGAAACCTTTAATATACTGGAATAGTTTATACCTGTGCTCTCAAACCTTACTGTAACATCTTTTATGTACGCCAAAGGGCAAAAGCTCCTTGGCATGCTTGTGAAGTCACCATACAAGTGAAAGACTGACATTCTCGAGAAAGGAGAATATACAAAACTCAGAAGAAAGCCTTTGAAAAGGAGATGAGGTTGAGACATTTCCTTCACCTACAGTGGGTCTACTGCAATGTAGTCCTTCCACTCAATTTTGTAGCTACTTAGAAGTCCTAGAGTCATTTGCTGCTATAGTTTGGATCTTGAGTGTCTCCCACCAGCCCATGTGTTAAAGGCTTGATCTCCAGCTTATGGTAGGATTGGGAGGTGGTAGAAGAAGTTGAGTTGTTCGGGGTGTGCACTGGAAGGGGATATTGGTATCCTGGCCCCTTCTTGTCTCCTTAACTTCCTGGCCTCCAATAGGCGAGCAGCTTCCTCTGCCATGTGGTCTTTACCACAATGTTCTTCTTTGTCACAGTTCTGAAGACAGTGGAGCTAAGTGACCATGGACTGAAATCTCTAAAACTGAGCCAAAATAAACCTTTCCTCTTTAAAAGTTTCTTTATCTCAGGTATTTTGTTGTAGTAATAGAAAGCTAACTTAACATTCCTGCCATCATCCTAGTTAGGATGACACAGTAGTACTCTCTCCCTACTTATTGTAGTTCTCTGTTTGGTCAGGAATGGTTGCAAGTTAGTCATCACAGTAGCAGCTCCTGCCTGCTGCAAGATATTTATATACAGGAGTACGCCATGACAGAAGTGCTGGAAATGTGGTGTCAGCTTACAGTTGCATCAGGCAAATAAGGACATTAATTTCAGTCTAACAAGAATCTCACCAATCATCAACTCAATTGGGGAGTGGTGTTTTGTTGTTGTTTTAGAGCATAGTTTCAGTTATATATTAATTGAAAACCTTAGATATTATGGGGAAAGTTAGTATTTGGAATCTTACATTGCCTGGATAAACACTAAACAGGTCACCAGTTTTGTGCTAGAGTTTATGGGCCTCACGGAAACAGTTGGGCTCTGCAGGAAGGCAAAGAAAGACCTACAGAATTTGTAAAACATTTTGTGTTGTAGTTGCTCCTGAGTAATTAGTTGTTTTTTCCTGGTAACCAAGCAAAGCTCAGATTTTTGTAAGTAATTTTGCATGCTATTACTCTGAGACTAAATTATGATTCTTGAGTTTGGGAAATTGTTGTTGCATGTGCCCTGTGCTTTTAACTTTCAATAGAAATGATTTAAACTGGATTTTAAAAGTTACTTTCTGAATCTGAAGAGGCATTGACTGAAATGGAATTAAAGAACAAATTACCATGATTCAAAGCTGCTTATTAGCTTTGAATTAAGTCCTGTTGTAACAATTCTGATTTTCTGGCAAGCAATATCAGTGTGAGTTATTTTTGTAGTATGATACCAAGCACCTGCAGGGAAGAAATAAAGCACAAAGCAATTTTTCATAGACAGCTATCTTTATTTGTGAGGATATTTATTTGTAGGTAGTGAAAAAATTCTTACATTCCCCAAACTCGGCTGTTAGCAATGATCTAAACTAGAAGAAACAAATTACTTACATGTTTCATTCAGAGGTATCAGTGTTCTTTTAAAAGGATGCTACTTTGGTCAATCTTGGTGAATAAGCAAATTTGCACCCTGGAGTCCGGAAGGAGGATTGAGTTAGTATGACCAGAATTGCTGGCCACACTGGTTCTCCAGCGTTGGTTGTTCCCAGATGCCCTCATTTGGAGATGCCAAAGATAGAAACCACTGGGTGTCAAAACAGCTGTGATTCCTGCTTTTCAAGCCATGTGATCTTATATCCATTTACTAACTGAATCATTTGCAAGCCATTTGCAGGCTCCTGGTGGCCACAGGCCACACCCAACTTAGGGTTCTCTGCCAGTTCTTTGTTTCTATTTGCATGTTGTTGCTTTTCATTAAAAAAATATATTGAAATAGCATCTACTTGCATTGCATTGTGTCTTCACTCTGAAGAAATTTTCTTTCAGAGCACTACTTAGCATAGGCTGTTTTAGATTTTTTGGAATCCCCTTGGAATTTGGAATCTAACTAGGTGGCAAGGTCAGTAGTTTGGAGATTTCATTAGCTGGACTGTTCCTCATGAGTCAGATTTTTAGCTCTGATTTCCTAGCTAATCCTCTGCTTTGTTCAACACGGATTATGCTTCTGTATTGGATTTAAGCAAGAGCAGTCACATTCCTGAAGGGAAAGCTAAGGCTCAAGGATATTAAGTCAGAGATCCAAAGAAGCATGCGTCAGTCACCAAGCCTAAAATAGAAGCTATGTTTGTTTGGAGTGATGATCCTATGACATGACATAAACATTTTTCCTGGTCAAATATTAGTATTTAGGATAATAAATAATAGAGATAAGATATTAAACATGTTTAGGAGGGTTTAGAAAATCTGTGACCTTGCAGTTAATACTTTTGATCCTTGATTTTACTGCAAAGTTAAAATTTATCTCTAACGTCCTTTTACTCTATTTGCTGCTGCTGCTGCTGCTGCTGCTGCTGTTGGGTTTTTGTTTTTGTGTTTTTTTCATTTGATTATCATGTCATGTATTTCCCTTAGGAATGTTACAGAAATGTATTTGGAATTAGGTATCTAATGTGGTTCAGTAGCATTTTGTTTAAAATATTCAAGAAATTATGTGTTCTTTTTAAAATTTTTTTGGTTGTAGATGGCCACAATATGTTATTTTTTATTTTTTATGTGGTGCTGAGGATAGAACCCAGTGTCTTACACATTTGGGGCTGGCGCTCCACCACTGAGCTCCAGACCCAGCCCCAAGAAATTATGTGTTCTTGTTAATTAAATTTTCAGGAATGAAAACACTTTTTAGTTTTAACTCTGAAAAACCTTAAGGAAAAAATGTTAAAGATTAGTCCATGACTTTTTCAGCTTACTGGATTTCTTATCTAGGGTCCTGAGAGCATATTTTCCACAAGTACAGATAGGTTGTAGGTATTACTGGGGAATGGCTGGGTTTTAATATTTTATAGTGTAATTTAAGGTATTTGGGAAATGGCTGACAATTTTTTCCAGATATTCTAAAGATTTATACTGCCCCCTCCCACTGGATTTGTTTTTCTCCTAACTCTAATTATAATTTTCATTCTGTAGCTGGGTAATAAAGGAAAAAAAATTAAATATTATCAGGAAGTAAACAGTGTGTTGCCACCTATAGGCAGCTACAATATTTATTGCACTGACCTTACTGGAGTCCAAACAGATATCACATGAGCATTTTTCCCTTAGCCTTAATTCTGTTAGTGTACTTACTAACTGCCTCAAAAGTCTTTTCAGATAGGTTATACCCTAAATAAATATTTTAGGTGTTCCAGCTTAACTAACAGAAGTCAAGGGCTTATAAATGTGGCACTGAATAGGATTGTTCCCTACCCTAAGGAATTTTCAGTCTGTTGGGGAAATCAAAGATGTCAGCCAACAAATGCAATGAGGTGCTGTAGATGTTCTGATAGAATAAGAATGCTCAGCTGCCAGCCAGGGCACACAAAAAGTTCAGTTCTCTCATAGGAGATGGTTTGTGCTAAGTCTTTTGTTTGTTGTTGTTGTTTTTTAGAGTACTGGGGATTGAACCCAGTTGCTCTACCATTGGGCCACATCCCCAGCCCTTTTCATTTTTTATTTTTAGACAGGTTCTCACTGAGTTGCTGAGGCTGGCCTGAAACTTGCAATTCTCCTGCTTCAGCCTCCTGAGTCATTTGGATCATAAGCGTGTGCATCACCAAAGGCAGCTTGAAAAAGGATTAGGGAGGGTGTTGAATAGAAAATTAGGAGGGAAGACCCAGTGATTTTGAACAGCAATCTGATTCTAGTTCTGCTATTAGCTAAATACATGATTTGGGGCATTTACCTGGCTGACCTCAATGTCCTCATTTGTGGAAAGGATAAGGGCTGAACTTAAAGCAGGTCTAAAATCCTTCCTAGACCTAAAAACCTATGTTACTATGAAAGAAGAGTAAGCTTTTCAAGTCATTGAACTAGAATCTAACAGCGTTCTCTCTACATCATCTAAGTTTACTAAGATTGTGTCCTAGAAACCCACAGTCAGCTAGTGGCTAAAGAATAGATTTGAGGGTCAGGACTCATGCCGTATTGAGGGAGAATATAAAGTTACAATGTTGTATTAAAGCCTCCTGCAACTAGAAAGGTCTCACAGTAATGTTTTCTTCTTTCAGAATGATTTTGGCCACAGCCAATCTTTATATTTATAGCTGGTCTTCCTGCACAAAGGATTTAAGGCATCTCACTGAAGCATGAACAGTGTCATAAAAGAGGAAAAATTTTAAATGGATTACAAAATAAAAAACAAGATCCAGGGGGAAATAGGTAGAACTGAGCAATCTAAGGAAGAGAAAAGAGTATAGGCAAATAAGCAGGGCATAAATAGTTGTATAATTTTAGAAACTGGTCCATACATTTGACCATGAGCTTTCTGGCAAGAAAGCAAAAAGAATTAGAAAGTTGTCCATCAAAAGGGATATTTTCCACTGGATAAGCAAAGCCAGACCCTTACTTGAAAACAGCATTTGTGGGTGGGTCTTTGTCTGCCTGTCTAGTTTCCTGATGCCTCTGGTTCTTGTGGAGTTCCACAGCCCAGCCCCTTGTTTTTAATGTCACTTTTTTTTCCAGGGGCAATGAATCATTCTTTCCAGGACACTGGATCTCGTGACATTCACGAAGATGGAAAGCTTTATGTCGTGGATTCCATTAATGACTTAAACAAACTAAACCTCTATCCTGCTGGATCACAGCATCTGTTCCGTACGTGTGCCCCTGGTGGCTTGGTGGCCCTTCCTGGCATCCAGGCTGCCTAAAAATGGCAAAGGCAAAAGTGGACTTGTGGGTGATGGGTAGGGGTTGGGGTGGTAGGTATAGCTTGGCATTGGAAATGCTATTTATCATTAGGCAGGTTTTGCTTTTGTTCTTTGAATACCCATGGGATTATGAGATTTCTTGGCTCCTAAGGAAGATTTGAACTCTTTAAAAATCCTGGAAAAATCTTGTGGTGATTCTGTCCCTGAGAAGGGTGAAGGCTGCTGAGCTGGACTCCGAGGCTTGCTCATGCCTCTGTTATCTGTTGTAATGCTTCTTAGTGACCACAGCTAGGTCCTCGATACTGCCCACCTTCCCCCCAGGGGTTTTGTTTCATAGCGTATTGCTGAGAAAATGCTCAACACATTCACCAGTTATAAAAATAGCACTAAAATTCTCTTGGGCAAAAGAATCAACTTCATTTTCTCCTTCTGAATTACAAATTGCCCAATTAAATAGTTAGAAAAATATGCGGGGTGGACAAAATCTGCTGAATACTAAATGTGTATGCTGCTCACTAAATATTATAAATGAGTTCTACCAGACCTTCTGAGCCCCTTCTTTTCTATCTTAAATGCTGATGTTTGAACCAACCCTAATGTGAACTGCTCACTTGCCTTTTTTTTTTTGTGTGTGTACTCCCAACTTACTATCCCAGTTTTATATCTATCATTCCCCTTCTAAATCATTTCTCAGTTTTTGATTTTCTCATCATTTAAATGGGTTCAGGTCTTCAACATTTTTATTGCAGTCAATCTTAATAAAATCGAGTGTGTGGGTGTCAATAAGGGGGATGATATAGGATGTATTTATAGGGCATGGGACTTAAGCCATTTGTTTATCCACAATCCAGGAGCACAATGTGTAGGACCAATTCAAAGTAGGAGAGCATATAAAAAAGTAATTCAATGATCTCCACTACCCCAGTTTTCATATTTCTTACTCAGTTTAATCTCAGAGCTGGTAGGGATCTAGGCCTTAAAAAGGTTACCGGATGCAGACAATTCAAGGTTTGGGTGAACCAAACTATTTTATGAGCAGGTTGGATTCTCAGTTCAACTCAAAATATTGGAAAGAACCCTGATTTCAGAGGATATCCATCTTAAAAACAGTTTTAAGAAACCAAAAAATATCAGGATCATTTTTGTTTAAATGAGTGTAGGCATGCTTGATTATTCCTATAATAAAAGGGATTTCCTGGGAGACAGCCCAGAGTGTTCAATTTCCACCCAAGGCAGGTGGCCCACACCCAGCTCTGTTTTGCTCCTGGGTTACTACGGGAGGACTATAGAGCCTCTGTCACTCTTAATCTTTCACTTCTTTATTCCCTCCCCCAAATAACAAGCCATGTCCTGCTACTTCAGTACTAACACAGTCTTAAAAAAACTTTCCAAAGAGGCTTGATTAGTAGCTTACCCTTGCTCATTCTTTGAATACCAAAAGAGAGGAAGGTAAACAATTCCAAAAATTGTACCCATCCAAAGACATTCCTAACACATAAATCACTTTCCAGGACTGTCAGAAGGAAAATGGGTGTATTCATTACTCATGTCTCTAACAATGAGCTGCTGTTCCTTTCTGCTGACAAGTTGTGTGCTGAGGAGTTTTTGTCTTCACTGTTTTTGTTTGTTTCCTATTAGCTCTTGAAGAGAAAATCCCAGATTTTGGCACAGGCTCAGGAAATGGGAGGCGGAGTCTGTTCTTTATGGGGCTGCTAATTGCACTGATCGTCAGCTTGGCACTGGTTTTCTTCGTGATATTTCTAATAAGTAAGTACCACCAGCGAGGTTTTCATTACTAAGTGCACATGATGCATAGCTGGTTTTCTTAGTTGTTCAACTTTGCCCTTGGGATGAGTCAGTGCTTTCTGGAAGTCAGAGTTTCCCCTGGAAAACACAAGGGGAATGAACACCTCGAGTGAATCCCTGTGCTCAGGGATACGGTCCCTGGGGGCACAAGCCTACTGCACACGGGCACAGTGCTTGAAGGTCACAGACATGTATGCTAAATATTAATATAATATTAAAGTTTCTCACTTGGGAAACCCAGCTACCAAATTGCAGGTGACTCTATCGGGCAGCAGGGTCAGTTGGCTACCATTAAAATCAGATCTATTACATGTAGTCACACTCAGGGTTCAAACCCCATCTCAATTTCTCTCATTTGCATATCATCCAGAAATCAAATCAAAGTACCTGAGATGATGTTGGGGCTGTGACCACAACAGCTGTTTCCAGGTTGACACTGACCAGGCTGGTGTCTGCTCCTATTATAACCTTCTCTGTTTGCTCTTGGCCTGGGATGCGCATGTTGGTTGAATGGGGACACCAGCTTTCCCACATCACCTCCCAGCCTAGAGACCCCCTGAGCCGTCAGTGCTGTCTGGCTCTCTGCCTTGGGTAGGGGAGAGGTGCAGTTCCATCTGCCATGCTGTCCCATCCTTCTGCATGTGGTCCCTTCCACAGAGCTCCCCAGTTTCCTCTCTCAGCTCATCTCTGTGTACTATCATTTGTAATTGTTCAGTTCTTTCCCAGACTCCTGAAGAATGCAAGGACCTTTAGGGGAGGAGGTCATCTTTGACACTTTTGCCTGGATCCTCCACCCTGTCATTTCTTCTGCCCTTTCATGCTTACAGCCTTCAGTGATTCTGAATGAGAAATGGGATCTCATCTTTGGATTGTCTCTTGAGTTGATTCAGGAGCTGAGGAGGTGGAGTTAGAGGTGATGAGAGGAGGAAGGTGGGCAGAGTGCACCATCCTTGAGTTATATTTAACCTGTCTTCTTCCCGAACAATGCCTTCCTCCTTCCTCCTTCCTGCCTCAAGGTCTTTAGCCTCAGGGGTTGGGGTTGGGGCTGGTGGGGAGGGGTGATATTTAATTGCTTCTCTCTCACCCAGCTGGTGCCCTTGTGCACTTAGAAGCTAGAATATAAATTATTACAGTAATTGTGAACTAGCTACCAATTGGTAGCTACCAATTGTAGGAGGGTTGGCCCCTGAGCCTGCAGGGTCAGGAAGAGCACCTGGCTTGCTATTTTGACATGTTATTCCAACATAAATTAATGTCCTGCCTGCCACCTCTGACAGGGGTAATGACCCTGTTAAACTAGTAAGGAATTTTGGTTATGTCTCTAGACAAGTGAGCAGATCATAGGAAATTCTCTTTTCTGTGGGGTAAGAGGCAAGATTAAGGGAAATGATAGTAACAAATGCTCAAAACCTTCTAAAATCTGTATAGCTAGCATAGGATCCATTATTATGTTGGAAATGAAGCTTAATATACCCAAGGTCACATAGCTAATAAGTGCTAAATTGGGGCTTAAAAATACTTTCTGATATCAAACGCTATGCTCTTTCCTATTCTTCTTGTTTAAATAGGATTCTTTTTATTTGCCTTGAGCATTTTATATTGAGGAAAAAGTCACATTAAGTAAGAAACCAAAAGATAATGTGAATTGTGTCTCTTTATTGGACAATTACTCAGTGCTATACGTATGGTTATCTTAAGACTTTACTCTATCCCTCAAGGTGGGTTAATTTCCTCATGAAAGACTAAGGCTCAAAGATATCACCTCTCCATGTTCATGGGGCTTACAGAGACAGACCTGGGATTCAAACCCTGGCCTGTTGGGCTCTAGAGCTCCTGTGAGTTCCACTGCCTGAGATGCAATAAGTATAAAATCTGCTTGTGGTTTTCAGATATACCTTAATCCAGTATTACACCAGAGTTGGCAGAGGCATCTGTAAATGAACTTGATCTGTCCTTATCTTTAATAGGAAAACCATTTTTGCTGTCCTGGGATTCACTGCAAATGTGTATTCTTTTTAAATTTTTTTTTAGTTGTAGGTGGACACAATATGTTTATTTTATTCATTCATATGTGGAGCTGAGGATTGAACCCAGTGTCTCACACGTACTACGTGGGCAATCTACTGAGCCACAACCTTAATCCCACTATTTAATTAAAGTGAGATAACATATTCTTTATAACTCTGTCATTGTGACACAAGAGAATTAAGATTATTATATACTGATTACATTCTTATAAAACCATTGGGCCTTATGTTTTTGTTATAATCGCTGCATTAATGAGGAATAACAGACAGCAAGAATACATTACTATGGATTCCTATCTGCCCATGGTAGCAAGAGTAGCCAAGCAGCATATTCCACAGAATGCTAGTTCCATGGGATAGTGTTGCCTTTTGGGGAAAAAATAAAATAAGAGGGGGGGTGTCTTCATGGTCAAATGAGTTTGAGAACTGTTGGCTTAGGTAATGTTCAGGGTGTTTCTTTGCTTCCTGTGCATCTCCAAGGGGCAGGTGGGCATATATTTTTGCTCTGACTCTTTTATACATGGAACCCTTTCTCTTTTTATGGAATTTATTTCAGGACTGGTGCACTGTGGAACAGAGGTAGGCAAGCATGGTTGCTCCTTCCTTCTGGGTTTGGGCTATGTAGAAGGGTTGCGAGAGGAGAAACTATTTCATATGTCATGGATTTGTTTCAGTGTCACACTTTCCCCAGAAGCAAGTGGCAGCTCTGGCTAGCTGAGCAGCAAAACTCAATTAAGACACTTCTCTCATGTCTTGGACCATGTTTCATCCAATGTAATTTTTCAGACATGAGCAAGAAGTAAGCACAGGGCAGCCAATTTGCCCCAAGCCTGGGAGGTGAACCTCTAACAGCTAGTTTATCAGCCAAGCCCAGCAGCATGTTATCAACACTATTAGGTACCAGAAGATAGTTTTGAGGAAAAAAAATGCCTGAAATGGAAATGTTAAGGAGTTCAAAGATAAAGCATTGATTCTGTGCAGCATTTCTTAGAAATGTTAACTCCAATTAACAGACCTCAAAGGTTTACATTCCCAGCTTACTATACTGCAGGGGTTCTGTTTATTTGGAAAATATTGTGCTCTATTCTCAGGAGTGATCTGAGGGCAATGATTAAACATTCATTATGAGTTGGTAATTTAGAATCAACAGACATGTCAAAATAGGCTGGAACCCAGAGAATGTCATTTTCCAAATGACGAGCAAAATCCCTTTCCTGAGAATGGGCCTGGAAACTCAATATAACAATCGCTTCTGGAGAAATAATCAGGCACATTGGCAGTATTCTTTGATTTCTCATAGACATATCTTTCTTAGCCAAAACCTGGGTGGAGCTACCAGGGGTGGTCTAGACTGGCACTAAGAGGTTGTAAAAATAATTCATTTAATGTGCACCTTCACTCTTCTCCAGTTTCTCTCCTGGGTTTCTGGAATCCATGGATAATGGAACAGGGGGTTTGCCAAGAGTGCCTCTCAGCACTCAGATGAGCCCTGGTGGAACATACTGGAAACCAGTATAACACAGTCTGTTTTCCATTTTCAAGTTCAAACTGGAAACAAGATGGATGATGTGTCCAGAAGACTAACAGCTGATGGAAGGGACATAGATGACCTAAAGAAAATCAACAACATGATCATAAAGCAACTCGACCAACTGGACTTGGAGAAGAATTAGAGAAATGATTTTCCAAGGGCATCAGCAAACACGTGGAGCTCCTCACTTTCCTGGGGTGCACTGGGTCAAGGGCTGAGAAAGGGCAATGGATTATCTGATCATTAAAACCAGCCAGGGATCTGAGCAACTCCTAGGCAAGCTTTAGGACAGCAGCTAGAAAGGGTTGGTTAGGTCTCAGCCTTATTTTCTGGTAGGGTGCTCCAGCTTTACACCAAACTCCTCTAGTAAGATAAGTTGTATATACAAAGCCGAATTCCTGGTTTCTGTTGATTCTCCTGCATGCTAGCCAACCTCCCTAACCCCATTAAAACTTTGCATGATGGCTATAAAATTTGAGCAAATAAAAATTTCTTTGGGCCCTAGTTTGCCCACCTGAGAAATTAAAGGCTTGGGCCCTTTCATTTCTAATATCCCTTTCTGAATATTAGCTGTCTATCTCCCGGCTGTCTTCCTTTTCTTTTGTCTCTTCTCATGTGGAAAGGTATAAAGAGATGTTAGTGAGACAACTGGACAATAGTGACCTCACAATTGACATTCTTTTATAGCCTGGGCAACTTCTTGTAGTACAATGGAAGAAACAGCTACCCAGAAGGAAAAGTGGTTTGGGAACAATGACAAGGAAAATATCCCCAAACACCAAAGGAACACTCTTGTTCAACAAAACAGGAACAAGTGATAATGGATAGTTTAATAAGAAAACTTGGGTGGAAATGTGCTTGTGCTTAAATGTTGGGCACTGAGGACATTGAACAAAAGGACAACAAAGGAATTGTCATGTTAGGTTTCTATTTTTTTTTAAAAGAGTGAGAGAGAGAGAGAATTTTTTAATATTTATTTTTTAGTTTTCGGCGGACACAACATCTTTGTTTGTATGTGGTGCTGAGGATCGAACCCGGGTTGCACGCATGCCAAGCGAGCACGCTACCGCTTGAGCCACATCCCCAGCCCCATGTTAGGTTTCTTAATAAATTATATTGCAATGAACACAGGGGCAAACCCTAAATGCTCCTAAAAAAATCACCTGAATGGGAATAGATACAAGCACATAGAGAAAACATAGGGAATGTGCCCTCAAGAATATCAAACTAGCTGCTATGTGCAAACCTCGTCCTTTTTTTCTATTTCAAAGATAGAGCCTTGAGAATGAGTTTGTTCTTATATCTCATCTCAAAAAACTAATAATTTTTTCCCAAAAGATGGTATACACCAAGTTAAAGACAGGGTATTATAAATTTAGAATAATTGGTGGAACATTACAGAAATATAGAACCTTTAGGATTAGTTTATGGTAATGGTTTTGATGCCACCTTGGATCAATACTGAACACAGTTCCATCTGTAAAATATTTAAAGGTGATGGCTGATTTATTAATGGAAGCAATTTTGTCAGTTTTCATCAAACTAAAAATTGATCATGATACATTGAAGCTCTTTTTTGAAGGCATAAAAACTTTGAATTCTGTGTGTATGTGTGTTGAAACTATAAAGCTTTTATGACTCAAATATTAATTTCTCTTAAATGAAATTAAAGGCAAAACAATATGATTTAGCTTAAATGATCATTCCTTCCTGCAATGATTAATTGTTTTACCATGTATTTTAAAAAGCTAAAGAGAAAATAGTGGAAAATGGAAATAATTTGGAAGCTAACAGACCTCGACTTAGATTTCTTTTGATAATACCAAATGAGGAATAAACCATGAAAATCAGAAGTTAGTACAGAAGTTAAAATAGTCAGAATAAACTCATCAGGTATCCTACAAACCTTAAAAATTGAAATAATTGATTTTCCTTGCAAGCCCATCTTGGAATGTCTATTGCCTTTTCAACACTTCCAAGACAATTTCAACACTTATAAAGAGAATATTTATATTGTTAACAGTAACTTTGCTACCAAACTTCAAAATAAAGAGTAATAATATGTCATTGAAATAAAAAAAAAGGATATCATTTTCAAATGTACTTTTGGGTGTTCCCTAGTGAGATGACATCAGAGACCCTGATCTTATGCTCCTTTTTGTTTTGTTGTGTTTTTTTACATAATACATTTTTATTTTTTTATTTTATTTTTTATTGTTCAAAACATTACAAAGCTCTTGACATATCATATTTTATACATTTGATTCAAGTGGGTTATGAACCCCCAGTTTTCCCCCGTATATAGATTGCAGAATCACATCGGTTACACATCCACGTTTTTACATACTTCCATACTAGTGTCTGTTGTATTCTGCTGCCTTTCCTTTTTGTTTTGTAAAGGAATCTACATCTAATGTGAGTCCACCTTTACAACATGGTTGTGTGAAATACTAGGCTTGTGAAAATTTTGTCAGAACCCTGGTGTTCAAAGAAATGGATCCAGATGTTATAAGAAAAATAACCCTGGGCTAATGTCATTTGGCCTTTTATTCATATTTGTTTGGTGAGTGTTCCTTGAGTGTATATTTTTTTTCCAGATTTTTAAACAAGTTACCTCTATTCTTGAATCATGGGATTATAGAAATTGTTCTCAAGTTTTATTATCGATAAGTGATGCCAGGTAAATTGGTTTCTGTAAGCTCCTATGCATGATTCTTTGGTCTGTGTGATTTTCATATTGAGATACACCCTGCTTTGTAAATAATGTGAATTCCACATTCTTACTTGGTAACAATGAGAAATATTCCCATGTTTCTGTTTGCAGTATAGAATATGATGCATAATATCTCTGCAGTAAATGGTTCCTTTGAATGTATTCCGAGTAAAGCAGTGGATTCAGTGACTGGATATGTGGTATGGTTATTGGAGGATACTATTGTGAGCTTTTCTATCTATTTTTCTCCATTGGCACAGAATGAAGCAAAGATCTGAGCTATATTTTTATAATCATTTATTCCATGAATCCCATAATTTGGTCAATAGTGTTATCCAGTATTTCCCCTTTTCCTCCCTTATTCCCTCCCCTTGGTCCCTTTACTGAGCTCCCTTTGATTTTCATGAGATCCACGCCCCACTTTCTTTTCCTGTTTCCTCTTTAGCTTCCACAGATGAAAGAAAACATGTGACCCTTCACTTTCTTTTTTTAATTTTATAAATGTTAGGCATTTTTTAATAAAAAGTGATAAATTGACACAATACCTTTATTTTATTTATTTTTATGTGGTGCTGAGGATTGAACCCTGTGCCTCACATGTGTGAGGCAAGTGCTCTGCCACTAAGCCACAATCCCAGCCCTGTGACCTTTCACCTTCTGAGTTTGACTTATTTCAAACTAGCTCTCTAGTTCCATCCATTTTCCTGCAAATGTCATATTTTCATTTTTCTTTATGTCTGAATAAAATTCCATTGTGTGTATATACAATATTTTCTTTATCCATTCATCGATTGATGGGTACCTAGGCTGGTTCCATAGTTTGGCCATTGTAAATTGTGTTGCTATAAACATGAGTGTGCATGAATCACTGTAGTATGATGACTTTAATTCTTCAGGATAAATAGGGAGGCGTGGTATAACTGGGTCATGTGGTGATTCCCATGCCTAGCCTTTTGAGGAATCTCCATACTGATTTCCATAATGGTTGTACAAATTTACAGTCCCACCAACATTCTAAAAGTGTTCCTTTTTCTTTACATCCTCTCCATAACTTATTGTTTCTATTCTTGAAGGATGCCATTCTAACTGGAGTGAGATGAAATTTCAATGAAGTTTTGATTTGCATTTCCCAAATTGCTAAAGATTGCACTTTTTCATATGTTTGTTGGCCATTTTATTTCTGCGTTTGAGAAACATCTATTTAGTTAATTTGTTCATTTATTAATTGGGCTATTTGTTTTTCTGGTGTTAAGGTTTTCTGAGTTCTTAATATATTCTAGATATTAATCTTCTGTCATAATAGTAGCTAGCAAAGATTTTCTCCCATTCTGTAGGTTGGTTCTTCACATTCTTAGTTGTTTCATTTTCTGTGCGGAAGTTTTTTAGTTCGATATCATCCCATTCTTGGCATTATTTTCTGAGCTTTTGGTGTTCTACTGAAAAATTGTTGCCAGTGAATGTGAGTGAAACAAGCATAGAGAAGATTGTGACCAGGGGGCGTTCAAGTCAGATCTTTGGAAGGGAATGCAACTTGTTTCCCTTTGAGTCTTTCAGCTCATGTGACCAGCTGTGAAAAGAGGGTCAGGAAACTGAACAAGAAGGTGTGAATACATTCAAGGACTAACCCTGGGAAGGCCAGTAGTAGGTTCCAAAATCAACATATAAATCAATAGCTTTTTTATACACCAATAATGAATCTTCTGAAAAGAAATTAGGGTAACAATAGCCTCCCCCCCAAAAAAAAGAATATCTAGGCATAAATCTAAACCAAAGAGGTGAAAGGTGTCTACAATATAAACTACAGAATACTGAAGAAAGAAATTGAAGATGACATAAGATTATGGAAAGACCTCCCATGTTCATGGATAGGTATTAATGTTGTTTGATTAACACACTATGTTGGAGTGTTAACCTGACATTTTCTTCAAGGAGTTTTCATAGTTTTTGGTCTAATTCCTAGGTCTTTAATCTTTTTATTTCTTTCTTACTTTTTTTTTTTTGTACCAGGGATTGAAACCAGAGGTGCTTTTCCACTAAGCCACATCCACCACTCTTTCTTTAAAAAAACATTTTAATGAGAGACAGGGTCTCACTGAATTGCATAGCCTGTTGCTAAGTTGCTAAGGCTGATTTTGAACTCACAAACCTCCTGTCTCAGCCTCCTGGGCTACTGGGATTAGAGGTGTGCACCACTGCCTTGGCTCTTTGATCCATTTTGAGTTGACTTTTGTGTGGGTTGAGAGGTAAGGATCTAGACTTATTATTCTACATATAGATAACCAGTTTTCCCAGCACCATGTGTTAAAAATGCTATCTTTTCTCCAAGGTGTTTTTGGCACCTTTGTCAAGGATCAGGTGACTGTACCTGTGTGGGTTTGTTTTTGCATCTTCTATTCTGTTTCACTGGACTACGTGTCTGTTTTTGTGCCATTACCAGGAAGTTTTTGTTACTATAGTTCTGTAGTATGATTTAAAGTCAGGTATTGTGATACCTCCAGAACTGTTTCTTTTTTTCTCTTAGAATTCCATTGACTATTCATTTTGTTCTACCCCATAAATTTTATGACTTTTTTTTTTACAGTTCTGTGAAGAATATCATTGCTATTTGATGGGATTGTATGGACTCTGCATGTTACTTTTGCTAATATGGCCATTATCAAACAACATTAATGCCTACCCATGAACATGGGAGATCTTTCCATAATCTTGAGTCATCTTCAATTTCTTTCTTCAGTGTTCTGTAGTTTTCATTGTAGAGATCTTTTATCTCTTTGGTTTAGATTTATGCCTCAGTATTTTTGGGCTATTGTTAATGGAATTATTTCCCTAATTTCTTTTTCAGAAGATTCTTTATTGGTGTTTAAAAAAAAAGCTATTGATTTTTATGTTGATTTTGGAACCTACTACTGGCTTTCCCAGGGTTAGTCCTTGAGTGTATTCACACCCACCTGTTCGGTTTCCTGACCCTCTTCAGCTGGTCACATGAGCTGAAAGACTCAAAGGGAAACAAGTTGCATTCCTTTCCAAAGCTCTGACTTGAACTCCCATGGTCACAATCTTCTCTGTGCTTATTTCACTCATATTCTGCTAAGTACACCCTAGGCCAGACTGCAGGCATTTGCTGGGACAACATGGCAATATTTGCTATGATCTCCTGGGCTCCTGAAGCAGCGAACTTCACTGTGGCTTCCTTAACATGTCTTCCTGACTCTACTCTCTACTTGTCAGTTGAGAAACAGAACATTTTTCAAAGACCAGTTTCCCTGTGTAACCTCTGTATCAGCTAAGCTCAGAT